ATATAGGTAATATCGATCCACGCCATCTGCTACCTCCCCAACAAAGTGTCAACACGTTGCTGAAATTTATTTTTCTTTATAATATAGTGTGGACGGATTGCCCGATTTGAACCAAACATCGTACAATTTCATATTCGAACCAAGTATTTTTAATTTGCACAATGGCTGAACTGATTGTCTACTTCTTCTGGCACCTCCCCTCATACCTCTTTTTTTTATAAATTTTTAGGTCATATTTTCTAAACGAACTGGGCGGACATTAATACGTTTACCTACCAATGATCAAAAGTTTCATGTTCTAATTGTAAATAAAATTCACATTTTATTAGCAGTTTTGATTTTGATAGGGTTTTGTCCAAAATTGGATTTGATATTGAACGAAAGCTTTAGGTCAGAAGTTACTACCTAATTAAGATGGATAGTGGCTATATGCCTGGGAGACATTGGAAAATTTCTCAACACCATCGTCCAGATGAGAATATTTGTATAAGCGCCACCTTAACAAACGAACTAATGCAGAGGGCACCGTCTTTATATTGAAGACTTCTAGACTATTTACAGAATATATATTTAAAAAATATTCCTTCAGCAAAAGACATACATATACCTGTGATGAACAGTTCTCGTATACTTGACCTTCACGTATCATCTAAATAACTAATGTGCTTTAGAATCACAACTGTATTATCCTGAATGTAAATGTCACAGTGTCAGTAGTAGATTTGTATTACCATGGATATCTCCATCCATGTCCCTCCATTCTTCACTACGCTACACTAACGCTTTCATTTTCATAAAATATGTGACATATTCCATGGAAAGAATAAATGAATCATTTTAAATGTTTTATTATGCCAAAGAAAAAGCTACAACAACAACTGCGACAACAACAAAAAAGAAACATAATGGCCTGTAATGATTGCATGACTACAAGACGACGGACGAGTCGTAAATTCATTAAAATGTAACATATGATGCTGTTAATTTCGTTAATGTTACATTTAGATACGCAAACGTACGAGTGAAAGATGTCGACCATGGCAACGACAACGATGCATGGCGTTGGTTTTTCGTAGTAGGGAAATAGGGAATAACAGATTTGATTTTAATACCATCTAAAAGCTCTGTTGTGAATATCTGAACATTGTCGTCGTCTACCCTACCCTCTGATGCATATATAAGTAATGCTCTTAGATTGCGTAGAAACAAATCGCTTCAAACATATGTTGTGTGTGTGTGTAAATCCTAAATGATTGTTTGGATATTAGTCGATGGTGTGGATGGTATGGTGGTAGTGGTGCGTATACGTATTTTCCGTAAGGTGAGATGTTGAATGACAATTTATATAAACCAAAATTAAAATGATTAAGGGAGCTTATGTGCTACATATTACAAAAATCAGATGATGATAAAGGTAATAAAGGTATGACATTCGATTTAGTTAGGACAACTAATCTTATTCTTAGATTGTTGGTAATATGATTTATTTTTTCTGGGATGTTATTAGCTTATTCATGTATTAGTTTTTATACCAAAAGCACAAAATATTCTTAGGAGATCTCATAAAGTATAAGTATATTATTTTTTGAGGTTTAGCCTAATAGGGCGAAGACTATTGGATAATTTTATTTGGTTTCGAATTAATCTGCATATTTTTAATTAAAATAAAATTGAACGCCGTTCTAGTACTGTTGGTCCATCTATTTGTCTGTTGAAGTCGCAATAGAACTCACAGTATTTAGGAGAGGTAGAATTGGCTCTTTTTACAGATACGACTATCGATTTATAGCCTGCACTACGCTTCAAGACCGGTATAAATAACCAGCAAGGAAAGTTGTAAAGTCTGACGGGGCCGACTATATGATACCCTTCACCACTTTGGGTATATTCAACAGATGAATCCTAACAGACCTTGAAGGACCGTAAACACGAAAATGGATCCAAAAACATGTCATTCTGCAATCTATACTAAATTTTCATTTGGTCAGATATAGAGTTGCTATATATATAACCTGATTTCATTCATTCTAGACCTAATTCATTACTATATGCCGTGCAAATCGAAAGATATATAGGGGCTTTGGTACACCATTTACATTAAATCGAATGAAAATATATATGGGACCTATATCTAAATCTGTACCGATTTTCAGGAAACTTGACACACGTCAGTCTAGACCAAATTCATTACACTATACCAAATTTCGTGCAAATCGAAAGATATATAGGGACTTTTGGTACACCATTTACAGTAAATCGGACGAAAATATATATGGGAGCTATATCTAAATCTGAACCGATTTTCAGGAATCTTAACACACATCATTATAGACCTAATTCAGTACGCTGTGCCAAATTTCGTGCAAATCGAAAGATATATAGGGACTTTGGTACACCATTTACATTAAGTCGGACGAAAATATATATGGGAGCTATATCTAAATCTAAACTGATTTTTCTCAATTTCAAGAGGGTTCGTCCTTGGTCCAAATAAGTGGCCTATGCCAAATTTCATCCAATTCGGATCATAAATGTGACCTGTACTTTGTTTACAAAAAAATACGGACGGACAGTCGGACATGCGCAAATCGACTCAGAAAGTGATTCTATGCATATTCTCAAAAGGAACCACGTGTCTATCTCGCTTCCTTTTGCCTGTTGCAAACATACGCACATAAAAGTCCTGATTTTTGAGTTAATCACGTAGAATTGTTCGCCATGTCGGGCTTCATGCTGTGTAAAAAATTTGGATTTTTTTGGATTTACACAGTCATGCAAATGAAAGATAGTGTGCCATACTACAAGTTGATGTGTCCCGGGTTAAAGGAAATACAATTATTTTAACGTGATTCAATTGAGATAAACAAAAACTTAAAACGCACCACTGCAAAATCGATTTTTTTGATTTATGTTGGTCATGCAAATGAAAGGTAGTGTAAAAACAACGATGTGATTTTTAAATTAATGATACAGAATTGTTCGCCATATCAACTCCAAGTTGTGAAAAAAATCACATGAATATCACTGAAGGACAATTATTACAACTTCGTTTGATTAAGAGGTAAATGGCAACACTAAAAAGTGAGGACCCCAACCACCACATAAAATCCAAGATAGTTTTGTTTCTAGGCTAGGCTAGGTGGCGGCCACATCACTTAGGATAGCCTACAAGAGGCAACACTAATAAGTGAGGACCCCAACCACTGCATAAAATCCAAGGAAGTGTTGTTTCTAGGCTACCATAGATCGCGGCCACATCACTTAGGATAGCCTACAGCAGACCTATTCTACTTTGCTGAAATAAAACCAATGTATAACGAAACTAACTTAAGACTTCATTATCGTTGTTCTGTTGATAATATTTCAAAAAAGCTCGTTTCGTTTGGTTAACAAAAATTAGAAAAAATATTATATCTGCGCTTCAAAAGCGTTAAAATTATGGTAACAAATTACGGTAACTTCGAAGACACGTCACTGGTGATGTGGCACTGTTCCGCTTGAGAAACGTAGTACTGTCAATTCAGGGTATTTTGTCTGAAGTTTTCGGAGATATTATATAATCGAAAATAGGCATATTTTCCAAGCGATATAACAATTATTTTGAACTCGAGTTCTTGTATGGTAAAAATATCTTTGGCGAAAATTTACAATAGAGGTCCATTGCATCTTGCTCGAATAGCTCTTGTGTTAGGTTCGTATCACTATTTATTCTAGTCTAGCTCTAACGTCGCAAGTGATCAGTGACTTTTTTTTAGAAAATATTACCCTTGACGATGTTAATGATTGGTGTGCAGCAGCCTGTCGCAAGTAGTGAAACTGTAACCTATCGTCGCATAGAAGTAACTCCTCCTTCAGTTTTGTGTAGTGGTTGGGTTTCTTGTTTATTTAGTATCGCCAATATCCTCTGGGTGGCGCTATTTACTGTCATTCCTATTTTGCGTTATCCGCATATGTTGATGCCGAGTTTATTTATAAGAATACCATAGTGTTTTAAATGTATTTCATCTCTGAGAATTCTTCTTCATACGCTTGAATTAGATCCCTAAACCTAACGGTTTCTGGTCTTGCAAAAATTATGACCTATATTTCAACATTTCGCAAGAAATGTTGAAATATAGAAATAGGTCCCACCAAATTTTAGTTATTGTGATGATCGTAGTGGTGATTACAAACAGACGTGGCTGCAATATGGCATGTTTTGACATATACGGTCCTACCCATTTTCGAAATGTAGAAGGTCCTTTTCAAATTTCTTTTGACATGGGTCTGTAATTTGATATTTCGTTCTCGCAAAGCATCAAGTACCTCCTGACAGATATTTACGATGACATAGTCCTCATATATAGGTAGTAGTGATTTTATAGCATTAAATATTTGTAATCCTGACTATTTCGAATTTTGAGTTTACTGTAATATTAGTATAGTCCTTCTTGTGATAAAATAAAATCCCATTAAATATTATGATGACATTTTGCTTATATTATAAATTAGCTTATAATTACACTTGAAATTTACTTAAGTACTATTTTAAAAACTAATTATAATAAAAACATTAAAAAAATTATGTTTTCAATTTTATAATCATTTTAAAACAGTTTTTTTTAATTTTGCATTGAACAGAAAAATCAAATTTAAATAATTTTAAATTGCATTTAATCACACATTTTTAAAATACCAATATCATTTCTAACTATATTAACAAAATACATTTACTACGTTTACACATACATTGACAAATGAAAGAAATTTGCTTATTTTATGTCATAGTCTCTTTTACTGATACACGCATAGACATATAGCCCACAGACAAAAACAGACACACACACATACATATATTGGGCAATGAAACATGTTTTGTTTTTTTTTTTTGGTTTTGTGGTTGTCAGTCAATTCACCATTTATAAAAAATGTATAGAAAAGAAAAACGCATTTGGATAGATAGGCAGGCATTAGTAACTAAAATCATAGCAAAAATGTTAACAAAACAAATTATACTGTACCGCACGAACCTCCCTGGGGAAAAAATTGCGCATAAATCAATTTGAAGGTGTCTTCTTTGACTACACCTGTGGGACATTCAGCCTTAAAACCGCGATAAATTCGCTTAATTTCATCCTCTGTAAAGCGGGTGGCACGACTCAGGGCACTCAGTGAATCGGGTCGGTAACGTGCTGGCGTTTCAAATTCTTCTAATTCAGAATCTGTAAAGAAATAAAAAATATATTTTGTTATAAAAGAATAACACTTGTTTAAAGAATCTGAAATATAGGATTATGATAACATTTTACGATTGTGTAAGAACAAATTTTGGATATCAGCATAATAGTATCTAATATGTATTGATTTTCAACAATATATCGCTGAATATTTAGAAATTTTAAAAGATCGCATTTGCTGGATGCTCTGAAGTATATTTTAGAAATTCGTAATAAACAATAGAGGTATAATATTGAAATTTTGTATTTACATTTAGACTTAAAATTTGGACCAACTTTTGTCAGAACTGTGACTGAATATAATTGGAGCTCTTTTACTAAAATTAAATTATTGAATAAAAATTAGATAGACTAAAATTCATTACACACCCTCAAACCTTCATCTCGCCAAAGAGAAATTAATAAAAAAACATGTTACGTGAATGATCCTTCGCCCTAAAGAGGCATAAAAACAAATCTCTAAAATGTTCAAAGTCTACAACAAATAAATCCATATAATTTGTTATCCTAAATCCAAATTTCTAAAGATGCGTACAAAATTTGTTACAATCCCATTAGTTTAACAATTACTTCGTTAGCGAATGTGGTATATATTTAAACATACATTAACATATTATTTCATTTTCATAGAAAACGGCACATGTCAGGAAAACTAAGCTATCCACACATTAATTTCGGCCATAAATTAAATTTGAGTACAATTTAGTACCAAATTTCATGATTCGAGCTCTACAGGTTCATCCAAATTCATATTATACCAAATATGTATGCTAACATTATTTCCAAGAGTACCCACCTCAACTATCCAACAAAACTTCCTACATACTCCAAACCTTCAACCCCAAAGTTAGCCTATATCCAAGTTTCAGGATTCCAACTATATCTGCCCACCCACAATTTAAATTGTACTAAATTAAGTACACAATAGTGCCAGTTTCCAAAACCTCCTAATTACCCCAAACCTAAACCCCCACAGTAATCCTAATTCCAAATTTTAGGATTCTAACTCTATCGGTTCACTCACAATTCAAATTGTACCAAATTTAGTACACATTAGTACCGATTTCCAAAACTTCCTACATACCCCAATTCTACAGCGCCACAGTGATCAAAAATCCAAGTTTCAGGATTTCATCTCTGTCGGTTCACCCACAAATCAAATAGTACCAAATATAAATTGGTTCACCTAAAATACAAATTGTACCAAATGTAGTACCATTTAGTACATATAAGTTTTAATTTATAATTGAATTCTACCCCAAACAACCTACAGTTTGCTATATCATTGTTCCCGCTCTATCGGTTCACGCAAATCCAAACAGTACCGATTATAATACGATTTAGTATTTTTCCTACACATAAGTAACAAATTTCCAAAACTACGTTCATATCGTTCGTTCTATCGTTCTAGTACGAATTTCTAAAAACCCAGTCTTATCTGTCACCTTTGGACCAAGAGTGACCCTCACCCAAAATTTCAAGATTCTACCTTCAGCCGTTCCGTCTGGGTGTTGATGAATCGTTAA